TTTGTCAAATTAATTAACCCCTTCTTGCCAAGTTATACTTTAGTTTTTGTGCAACAGTTACAATTATTATAGTTCAAAAACTCAGTTTATCAAACATAAATTAAGTTAGTACTAGGCTTTTAATGGCTGTGGTAAATATCACAGAGAAGCTGGTGATTTATGAGCATTTTATACAAAAGAATGGCCCAATTAAAATGAAATCTCTGGTTCTTATTCTAGATTTGTGAATGCCTGGGACTCTGGAATTTGTATTTATTGCTTTTTGTAGGTTTTAATGCTGAGAAGGTGGTCATAGCTTTTTACATCTGTACAAACTCATCTCGAAATAGTTCCTATTCCCTATGCATTTTGTTTAAAATTAGTTGGCCTAAAATAATCTCTGAATGATTAGTTCTCTTACAATATATGTAACCATTTCCAAATGGTGATTATTGGCACGTGTTTAGCAATTTCAGAGGCTCTGTAGTTTTTAGCTTGAAGAATTTTTATTGATATCATCACTTACCTTCTTCGCATAGCCATGCCAAAGGGGGAAGGGGGGAAAAAAGGGAAGAAAATTAGAAAAATAAGATTTAGAAGAAGGATATAACACACAGGAATGATGCAAGACTTCTCTGGAAAATACAGTTCATTAAAAAAATTGTTTAAAATATTAGAAATGTTTTTCATCATTAAACTTTCCAGCTAGCTTTATACCCTACCAAATAGTATTTTGTTCAGAAGCATACTCAATAAGCCAGAAGGTTAACACCGCATCCAAGATTTTCCACTCTGATTTATATTCAGTGATCATATGTGACAGGTTTTAATAATAATCTCAAATTTTTGTTTCATTTATTGATTTATTAAGATCCAGAAACTACATTCAGAGTATTCAGGTATTGAGTCTTGTTTGTTAAAAGACAACAGTTAAGCTTTGGAGGTTCCTCTTCTTAGTTTCTAGTTTATTTTTAGTTCAAATCTTTATTACTTGAAAATTATTAGTCTTATATAAGAAGTTTAAACCTTTCAGATCTTGGCTCCACAAGTGCTTTTTATTTATAAGAAGATGGTTTTTTTGTTTTGTTTGTTTTTAATAAGTGGTTTTTGGAGAGACTGGAAGGGAGAGAGAGAGACAGAGAGAAACATCAATGTGAAACAGAGAGATTCATCCATTTGGTGCCTCCCGCACACACCCCAACCAGGGCCAGGGAATCTGCCCAAAACCAAGATACATGCCCTTGATCAGAATCGAACCTGGGGCCCTTCAAGTATGCAGACCAACGCTCTATCTATTTTTAATGGTATCTATATCATATGTGTTTTGTGAGGTTTAACTTTTGAAACACTTAGCTACCTGCCTTTTTTTTTTTTTTTAAGTTCTTAGTTGTAACTTTTGAACCTTAATTTCCTCACCTATAAATTGATTATAATTAATCATTTTATATGCTTTATTGAGATAGTTAAATAAGTAAATACAGTAGGTCTTCGGGTTACGTTGGAGATCCGTTCCTATGGCGATTTTCGATCGCGCTGTAAGTTGGAACCCTCCTACATAAGCACCTACATCACTCACATGGAGCACATAGTACACAGTAGTAATGAAATGAAACAGTAAAAAAAAAAATTAAAAGAAAGATAATAATTCCTGGCATTTACTTGTGGTAAATAAATAATAAAAAACATAAAGCACATATGTACATATGTCGAAATGACGGAACATTTTTTTTTTTATAAATACTGTATATGGGAGATGGCGACGTAACCACAAAACGACATATGTCAAGTCTGACGTAACTAGAGGACTGCCTATAAATGTAAAACAGTGCAGTGACTGCCACATACATAGTAAGCATGATATGTGCTAAGTATTATTATGAATATTATTTTCTATACATTTCAAGAAGCTTAATTTTCTGCAGTACCACAGCTTTTTATACTTGGGGCTTACATCTGCATTCAGCAAGAAGTTACTACACAATCTGTGCTCTTCATAAGAAGCGTTTACACAAATCTGGGACACTCTGCTTCTTAAGTTAATTCTTCATCAGTTAGTGAGCACCTCTTGTGTGGGGACGAGGGGGATTCGGGGTTAGTACCCAGGCCTCCCTGAACAGTATTTCTGCCTCCAGCTTTTCAGAATTCTGGAATGCTCACTTCTCCACATGATTTGTGCACAAGCAAAATAAGATTTTGCTCTTAGACTAGGAATGGCTTAGAAACAAAAAAATAAAAATCTTATACTTTATATAGTCTTATTTTTTCCTATTCTGTTTATTAATAATAATTAATGTCCAATCTAGTGGTGTTAGAGAACGAAGAGAAATCCTCACTCTTATGGACTGTCTTTCAGTTTTAGTTGCATTGCATGTTCTTTTAATGTGAATACATCATTCAATTAAAGCTGTCATCTTTGAAAACCTGCATATCAGAGGACATTTTTGTATGTTCTTGCCAGTTTCGTGGCAGTTTATGAAGAGCTAATAAAAGAACAAAGCTACCATGGCCAACCAATATGCTCAGTTTTATTATTCCTATATAAGTATGAATAGAGAATAAACACTAGATAATAATAAGATGTAATAAAGTTATAAAATAAAATTAGTTCCAGTACTGTTTAAAAAGATTCTCTTTAAAGTAATTCCCAGAGATTTCAACTTGGGAGGTAGTTAAAAGATCTAGAAAGTTATATTTCTATGATTACTAAATAGTACTTCAGTAATATTTTTTTATTACCTTCAGGAAAATCCTTTTCATTTGAAGCTAATGCTTAAGAGATACGTTACTTTTCAAAATTGTTTCTTGAACTGAGTCTTCATTCCAAATGTTATTGAATATCCTAGGCATTAAAATGCTATTATATTAAACTTTGTTCTCTACTTCCTTATCATTGATTAAATGGAGAGTTGCTTGGTATATTGGTTTTCTTTAAGCCTAGGCAGATATATATTCTACAGTTTGACTTTTATTGATCATAAACTTTATAGTGTGAGTTATTATAAAGAGGGGATTGGGCATTCCTATGTCAGAATGCTGTTTCTTTCCTAAAGCATAGTTTATTATATTAGGAAGCAAGTGCTCTACTAGCAGAACAAAAGTTTTGGTGTCAGATCCTGACTTCACTTGTTCATTGTATGATTTATTCTCTCTGAGCCCCGGTTTCTCTGTATTTGAAATTAGAGTAAGTGTTATTGTGTGAATTGCATGCAACAGCATATATTCCTGCTTTTTAGAAAATGCTAGTCCTTGTCTCTTTATTACCTCTTTCTGCCTCTTTCCATCTCACCAAATGGAATGGGCAGCAAGTGAAACCCTAGGTAGTTATATTTAGCTAGATAATCCCAACATGTAAGCCATGCTCCTAGTATTTATAAGAAATCTTTAATCACTATAACAATAATCTAGACATTTATTTTGTATAATGAAACATATAGTAAAGCATATACTGCTTCTGCCGCATGTAAAAATATAACATGAAATTATGCTCTCATTGCTTCACAGTTTTTAAGAGTATCTTATATTTTTAAACTAGAGGCCCGGTGCACAAAAATTTGTGCACTCGGGGCGGGGGAGGGGAGGTCCCTCAGCCCAGCCTGTGCCCTCTCTCAGTCTGGGACCCCTCAGGAGATAACGACCTGCTGGCTTAGGCCTGCTCCCGGGTGG